TGTTAATAAGTGAGTCGTTGCGATTGAACCGAATCATTTAAATGGTTGATTCATTCAGGAACGAAACACCGTCATGTTGCTCAGAGACGCAAAACAGTGCTGTGGCTTTGTTTGGAACCGTTTTTGTTGGCGACATAGAGCAAAAATAGGCAATATGGTCTCTAAAACGTAAGTCTCTTAATATTAACTTCTTGTTTATTGAAGAAATTAATAATAAAACATAATAAGGAGAATTTTGTGTTGAACAATAAAAGTGAAGTAAAGACTTTTTGACCTTTGTTGAAGAGTAAATATGGATTTATGCATTGTGTATCTTGCTCTTTAATATCAAAACAGTCATCAAATACATGAAAGCATACATTTCTTTTTGTCTTTGCTGAATTGTGTGTGTGTGTGTGTGTGTGTGTGTAAAAGTAAAAAAAAAGTAAAAAGGTTATATTATTATTTTTTATTAATATTATTAAAGGACTGTAAAATTACATAACAGTCAAAAATGATGCCATTTCATGAAATGAGATAAGTGGCCTACAACTCTGCTGGATTTCATTATGTCCTATCAAGGTTAGATTGCTCCTCCCATTCTTATCACTGGCACAGCCAGGCGCCAGAACAGACACAAATAGACACAAATAAACTACTAGCTGTTTAACACAGGTCAGCATGGCCTTCGAAAAACATAACCACTTACTGCCCACACGGAAATGTAATATATGACATATATCAAGATCACTGTATCAAGATCACTGTATCAAGAGTGATCTTGCCATATAAGGTGCATCTGGGCAAAATAAGATAGAACTTTATAACATATAACATTTCCATAATAAAATTATGTACATATGTTAATATGTGACTCTGTTAATAAGTGAGTCGTTGCGATTGAACCGAATCATTTAAATGGTTGATTCATTCAGGAACGAAACACCGTCATGTTGCTCAGAGACGCAAAACAGTGCTGTGGCTTTGTTTGGAACCGTTTTTGTTGGCGACATAGAGCAAAAATAGGCAATATGGTCTCTAAAACGTAAGTCTCTTAATATTAACTTCTTGTTTATTGAAGAAATTAATAATAAAACATAATAAGGAGAATTTTGTGTTGAACAATAAAAGTGAAGTAAAGACTTTTTGACCTTTGTTGAAGAGTAAATATGGATTTATGCATTGTGTATCTTGCTCTTTAATATCAAAACAGTCATCAAATACATGAAAGCATACATTTCTTTTTGTCTTTGCTGAATTGTGTGTGTGTGTAAAAGTAAAAAAAAAGTAAAAAGGTTATATTATTATTTTTTATTAATATTATTAAAGGACTGTAAAATTACATAACAGTCAAAAATGATGCCATTTCATGAAATGAGATAAGTGGCCTACAACTCTGCTGGATTTCATTATGTCCTATCAAGGTTAGATTGCTCCTCCCATTCTTATCACTGGCACAGCCAGGCGCCAGAACAGACACAAATAGACACAAATAAACTACTAGCTGTTTAACACAGGTCAGCATGGCCTTCGAAAAACATAACCACTTACTGCCCATACGGAAATGTAATATATGACATATATCAAGATCACTGTATCAAGATCACTGTATCAAGAGTGATCTTGCCATATAAGGTGCATCTGGGTAAAATAAGATAGAACTTTATAACATATAACATTTCCATAATAAAATTATGTACATATGTTAATATGTGACTCTGGACCACAAAACCTTAAATCTTAAATCGCACAGGTATATTTGTAGCAATAGCCAACAATACATTGGGTCGAAATTATCATATTTTCTTTTATGCCAAAAATCATTAGTAAAGATCATGTTCCATGAAGATATTTTGTACATTTTCTACCGTAAATATATAAAAACTTAATGTTTGATTAGTAATATGCATTGCTAAGCACTTCATTTGGA